AAAGAAGGGGGAAAGAGAGGGGAAAGAAGCAAGAAAAAATGGGGGAGGAGAGAGGAAAGAAGGGGGGAAGAAGGGAAGAAGTGGGGGGAAAAGGGGAAAGAAAGGGGAAAGAAGAGAGAAAAGAAGGGGGAAGAATGGGGAAAAGAAGAAGGAAGGAAGGAGGAAAGAAGGGGGGAAGGGAAAAGAATGAAAAAGAGGGGGAAATAACAGAAAGAAAAGAAAGAAATACAAAAGAAAGAAGGGAAGGAAAGGAAACCACCCCCAAACCCTCTCAGAACCACAACGGCCAAGCAGCTTGAAATAAACGCCATAAAAGAATAYGCAAATGCTTTAAAATACTGAAATTGCAAATGTGAGAGGAAACGGTTGGTTGAGGTCTATRCTGATTTGCCCGGGGGGAGGAAGGGGGAGAGTTTAATCTAATTTTCTGGAAAGTCTTCACAAAGATTCTCACAGTCCTGAAATTTGTCGGTGATATTTCACAAGGACTTTAAAAGCTTTTTAGAGCAACGTTTGAAGACACTAAAAGCTGATTATAGTTGCYTAAAACGGTGGTGAAAAGACGTGTGAAACTTCGAGAAGAGAATGTAGGAGGTGGGATTAAATAAAAGGCGTTACCTGATTTCRTTCGGCGCCTCCTCTTCCTCGTATCTCTTCTTTTCTTTCCTCCKTATGGTCAGCCTCACCACCAGGAAAAGCAGGGACAGTCCCACCACCACTCCGCACACTCCCCCCGCGATCATGCTGATGTTTTGCGCATCTATTGTCCAGAAAATAAATTTATTGGTGAGCTCTTATTGGAGTCTAGTCCGCGCTACAACTCCCAGCACTGGGACAGAACGTTTTAATTTATTTTTTTAGGCGTGTCCCCGCACTGAAGTCGAACCAGTTTGTCTTCAGATAAAGCTGAGCTGACAGGGAATAAAGCAATCAACTCTGGAAAARTGGGATCGCAAGTGCTGTGCCTTCAGCTGCAGGGCAAAGTTGGAATAAGGGGGAAAATCCTCTTGWAAGAGCACAAAAATATAGAAAATAYAAAGACAGGGCAGCCCACGTGTGGAACCAGGCACCAGGCAGCATCCCGGAGGCACAAGAGTGTTTGAACTAAGAATGTTTCCCCAAAAATATTCTTTTTCCTCCTTTAATTTACCATTAAATTATGGGGCTCACTTGCAAAATTAATTATTCAACTGTGGGGAAAAGTGACCTGGGGTGGGGTAAAAGAAGGAGGGAAGGAAGAACATCCTGTGCAGGGCGTTTTTCATCCRAACCGACCGCGATAATGAAATGGGATAATCCATTTCCCGTGGATTCGGGGCCCTTGGCTGATGCTTTATGACAACCTGAGCTGATAAGGGTTAGGTTGGGCTTGGCTCAAAGTTGTTTCCTTCAGGCTCAGTCCCTGCGGAGGGTTTAGCAAACCCGAGCGAGGTTTTAAACCAATTCGGTTCAATTGCCATAAAAGCTGCCCGGACTCTTTTACTTCACGTGCCYGAGGCAAACCGGTTTTCCTTATTCCGGTTATTTCAGGCTTGGCTGGGCAGAAAAATTCCAAAGCGATGGAATCTCCGAGAAGAGACATCTTTGTCAGGAGCCTTATCACAGCAATTCCAGCTTGAAACCCTTTTGTTTGGGTTTAGGTGATAAACTCCACCCTTTTCCTGGCATGCAGATGCAAAGGACACCCAGCCTTAGTGGGGTTAATCGGGGGATTTTAACCTCTGCTCTTCGGGACAGGAATGACTAAACCCGGATTAAAACATAATCATGTCGAAAGTGAGGGGTTTTTTTATCCTGCAAATTATTTTAGTCACCCTCACTTCTTTCCCTCCTTTTTTCTCCCTTCTTTCTCGCTTCTTTCAGCCCTTCTTTGCCACTTCTTTCCCCTCTTTTCCCCCTTTTTTCCCCCTTATTTCTTGCTTCTTTCAGCCTTTCTTTCCCCCTTCCTTCCCTTCTCCTTCCCCTTCTTTCTTCCAGCTGCCTTTAGATAATTTGTTGTTCCAAATTTGATAAATACCTAATTTGGAATGATGGAATATCCAGAGAAATTCCTGACAGTAACCTCATGCAATCACTCCAGCCGGAAGAACCTCTAACTCACCATTTCCTCTGCTTGTAATTCATGATTCATTCTGAAAATCAACGTTTTTAAGGGACTCACACATCTAAAGTGACAAAAACATCGTTTGGGATTTTTTTTGGGGGTCGCGATGTTTTTACCGTTTTAGGTGAGGGTTTCTGTGCAAATCAGTGCAATAAATAAGGAGTATTTTAAGAGATTAAAGTGTGAAAGGRCAAAGGTTTGGCGCGGGGTTTTCTGGATGGGAGAGCAGCGAGTGGAGAGGGAACACGGGGTATGGGCCAGTACTGTGAAAAAAAAAGGTTTACTTTCTTGTTAAAAGTTAAAAGGTTTTAATAAATGACCATAGGGTACATAAAAGCAAAAGGATGCAGCGCTGGGTGTTTGGTAAGAGGCACACTTGCTATTGACAGGAGATATTTTTAAATATATTTTATATTGCATTAGTCTAATGCTTATTTATAGGCACTTAAGCATATTTAATTTTTTTGAGGAACTGTTAAACATGGATTTGTTTTTTTAGAGCATGAGTAGTGATGATTTTCATG